GGGATGGGATGGGATGGGATGGGATGGGATGGGATGGGATGGGATGGGATGGGATGGGATGGACGGGGCTCTCCTCTATGACACAACAGTCCATAAACTGCTCCAGCTGGGGCACAGCCTGGCTCGGGGCTGAGCTGTCCCCTGCCTGAGCTGGAACCACTCTCCAATACACAAAGTATTTTTATCTCTGTTGCTTTCTCAGCCTCTGCTCCTTTGCACTGATCAATCCAATCCTTAGTCCATTTTAATGTTTAAGAAGCCAAATAAGCAACACAGAGACTGTCAAAGTACTAATGCAAAAGTGAATTTTACTGGAAAAAAAAACATAATTAATCCTGGCTGTTTTGTTAGGAAGTAATGCATTAACTCCCATCTTTATCTCTACAGCTTTCTGGTGAAAGTGATGCAGAGGGAAAGGTAGTGCCTGTCATTTCTGAGTTCTAGATGTTACTGAGAACATCTGGCACATGCACCCTAAACACTAGGAAATTTTCACCTTTGTTCACTCAGAATTTTAGTAAATCTTGTTTTCCTTAGCGTGCACTTGCTTGTGATACAGAAGAGCAAATCACTGCAAATTTCACAAACCACTCTAGTGGGATTTGGGGGATCTTGAATGTTTTAATGTATTTAAAATGATTTGGTGTTTTGCTTCATTAAGCAAACTCCCTCCAGGTATGCCCTACTTAAATGAAAAAATATAACAGAAAAACGTGCTTGGGGTTTTTCAAGGTTTCACMGTCAGAACCCAGAAGCCAATGAAGGTTTTCAAGGTGGTGTGAATTTCCCTYGTGTCCCATTTTGAAGGAAAGGGCTGCTGTCCACAGTCCAGTCAGCTGGAAACCCTGCAAACAGCCTTCATTTATGCTGTGCTTCCAAGGGGAAAATCACTGYAAGGAAAATTGGTTTTAGGGTCATTCACCCTCAGTGACAACAGCATATTTTGGCCCACCCATGCAAGGAGTAAACTGCAGTCCAGCCATTCAGCCAATCTTTGGACCAGCTTTATTACACCCCTCAACTGCTGTTCTGTAATCCCTCATTTCACTAAAATAAAATGGATAAGCTGTAACTGAAAACTGGAAGAAAAAAAAAAATCTAAATCTGTACACTCTGACAATGACGTGCTGCKTCCCATTGTGATTTTCAAAGCTAAAAAAAATTACTTAATTACTGATTAGACATAGAAGGTTTTTTTTCATTATAAGCTATCAGAGAGCAGGTATTGTAACTATTAAACTGAGAGGGAAATAAATTTATAGAAGTAACAGTCATTAAGCTGTTTAGTTGATTCATATGAGTAAGACTCTGACTCAAAGCAACATGGCTCTGAAAAGAACAAAGTAGTCCTGAAGAATGACAAAGGTGACCACTTTTCCCTTCTGGGAATAAGGAAGACGTGGACCAGATGCTCTCCTAAGGCAGCCTCCATTGCCTGGTCCTAATTTCAGAGTTGCWGTACTTAGATCTTTATGAATTTGTGGAGCTGAGCTAAAAAGTTAAAAGATTTTGTTGATTAAATTGTCTTCAAAAAAGATGCTTCAAAGGATTCTTATACTATTATTTAAACTAAATTATGGTGTAATATTAGCTGATTAAGACAAGACTTCAAACTGAGTAATTTCCATCAGCTGGACATAACAGTAGTTAAAGAAATAATGACTAAATGGATAGCACCTGATGCAATTCATCATAATGTAATGTGGCACAATGGAAAAAAAGAACATTTTTTTCTTTTTCCAAGAGGAAAGAAAAAGGAGAACCTGAAGATTAATTGGGGTTTGGGGTTGTTTTTTTCTGAATCATTCTTACTTATACTAGTCACTCCTTTTACTGCAGCATCTCAGCATCTTAAATGTTTTAATGCTCTTTTCCTTAAAGGATATAAACCAGTTTTTTTCAATTACTCAGTCAGTTCCTAAAGGGACAGGATGTCTGGTGTTTTACATACCATGCCTAACTCAACAGGACTTGTACCCAATGTTCTTAGGAACCAAACTCACTCTGAATAATAACAGCTACAAAAGAACAAATGCTTTGGAATTAGTTTGTTCTCCAAACAAAAATTCAAGACCACATAGTTTAAAAGATTCATACCTATTTTAAGGATGAAAATCTAAAATTGKGAAAAATATTTAAATTTTAAATTTTTTTTTTTTTTGCTTTTTAAATTGTATATTACAAGATAATTAAGTCTTTTTATTTCTTGGGAAAAAGAAAACAACCCATCCTCTCTGATTTGTTGTCAGAGGCACCATATCTAGAATTCAGATATGCAGGAAAGCTCCCCAATGGGGTTTTGAAAACAAGRCAGTCACAAAAGGAGTTAACAAACCTTTGTTAGCACAGGCCATCCACTTCAGGTTATCAGCAAATGCAGCTTCTCTTCCAATCAGATAGGTAAAAATACGGACCTGAAAGTAAAATGCAAAAGATTTATCAATTAATACTGCATTAAAAACATATCCAGTGGCATTTCAGATACAGATGAGTAATTCATATGGATAAAGTCTTTCTAAGAAAGTATTTTTGGTTAAGCATCACAGCAGGTTAAAAAAAATATTTCTGCCCATAATGTCTTCCTGTTTAAAATGTGGGTTTTGTTTTGGGTAATGGAATGACTGATCTTTTTGAATGTGTTTAATACCTGACCTTTAACTAAAGCCATGGTTAATGTATAATTGAGAATAAACTGAAACCACTGGAGAACAAAATGGCATGTTTCAGACAAATCTGTTCTGCACTTATGAATTCAGAAAATTGTTATGATATGGGGGAAGAGGCACTTAATTAGCAAATATCTCTGCAGATAAAGAATCTACAACACCAGGCAAGCAAATTCCCCTCAGTTTTCAAGGTTCATATGACACAATATCATTAKCAACACAGACAGGTACCCACAAGAGGTATGTTAATATAACTTAATTCATTTTCAAATAAAAAAATTAATTCCCATAGTTTTTCCCATCAGCATTTTTTCTTCATTCACAATGAAATTATTTGTGGAATAAACCAACTTTATACTAAGTTCCCATAGGGTCCTTCTTTTTTTCACAGAAGTAGCTTTAAAACACTCTGAAAGTCTCCCTCTTTACTGTCAGTAGTGCCCTTTTATCCATTTTCCTAATAACCACATCCTGTTTCTAAGCATACACAGTGTTTTGTGTTATCATCATGCCCAGAGACCAGATTTCAATCACAAAACTTTTCACAGTCTCTCAAACACAAAATACATGCAGAACTGAATCATTATTTATACGGTTTAAAAAGTCTACATGCTGATGGTGTAGTGTTGCAAGTTTGAATCCAACAGTCTGCATAATCCCACTCTAAGACTCTAAAGAACACAACATTAAACAAAAGAATGGTGCTTTTATATTTTGTTGATGACTATGAAAAGCATTAATAAAGAAAACCTTTATTCTACAAAGACAGATGAAAGTGCACAGCAAGATTTACACTCTCAAAATACAGCATAAATCACTGTCACATTTTATCTTCCTGCAAATGATGCTCGAAAATAGCCTATGATGAGACTGAATACTCTGAGAGATTTATATTTCATGATCTGCTTTAATCTAAAAAGAATCAAACTAGGCTATGTTCACAACAAAAGGAGACCAGCCTTATCTAAATAGATGAGCAGTAAGTCTGATAACAGGCAGCAAAGTAACCTACAAAAAAAAACCTTCAACAAACTGGTGACATGGATCATCATGAGGAATGGCTTGTCTCTGTAATACTACAAGGATTTTAAAATTTTTCTCTGAATATATTTACTACATCTAGTTTACTTAGTTTCAAGCAGTTTTGCTGGAAAATATTTTAAGCATGATAAAAATACTGTTAATTGTCATTATTTAAAAAATAGAAGAATCTATAAAACAAAGAGCTAGAAGATAAGTGATCCAAATTTATGAAGTGTTGTTTCCTTCCCTGTTCCAAGACATTATGCATTTTTCTCTAAACACTTCTCATGGTACATGTTATACAAATGATGTTTACCACGGTCAGCATGAAGTAAAAAGTCTTTCATACAGTGAAATATGCTACACCATAATTTAAAAATACCTTCTATATTCCTCATTATTTAATAGAATGACTTATTATTCATAGCAGTTTTGTAAGAACATAACCATGACAGGATCACAGGAAAGTATTTTAGCTAAAATTAAAGTCACTGATACTTTAAAGTTGTCCTTCTACATTGACCTTAAAGACACATTAATAGGTATTGTAAATATTGTTYAATACTTCATTCAGAATAGGAAGAAAAATCCTCAATATCAGTTGTGATAAAAAACAATTCTGATTATTTCTCTACTTCTATAGGTTTCATTTGATCAGTTCATTGAACCCATCACCATAAATGTAATTCACTGCAAGATTGCAGTTAAATACATTAATCATACATTGCAGCAATACCACAGAATCACACTCAATCACAGAATTAACTAGGTTGGGAAAGACTTTTGAGAGCATTGAGTCCAACCCATGACCTAACACCACCTTGTCAACCAGACCATAACACTGAGTGCCACATCCAATCTTTCCTTAAACACCTCCAGGGACAGTGACTCCACCACCTCCCTGGGCAGCCCRTTCCTAGAAAACAAAGATTTGCCTTATTATTATCTGCTCTCAGAGACCACAGCAATGACTTAGGTAATAAATTACTAGAACTGGAACTTGCATGGATAAGTCTGCATTCTAAATCCCATTTCTTAAAACAACCTTAGCTCTACACAMCTTTTATACTAGTTTTCGATGTGATCATTCTAGATGTACAATACAAATAAAAAGGAAAAAAGTGCTGTGTTTATGTTTACTGCAGATATATAACAATACAAGTCAGTATTACAGAATTACTACATTAATTTGGCAAGATAAGTTCAAATCACTTCAACTGCATGGATGGGACCTGTGCAGTGATGGCTGTGTATGGTGCAGAACAGGACACACAGCATCATAGTGGGTTGTAAATGTGAAGTAACGAAATGCAAAGTGGCAAATCAGGTCTGCTCTGCAAAATGATTGCAGAAAATGTTTATTTTACTCAAACAATCCACATACCACACTAATTTTGTGTAGTCTGCCGGTAAATAAATATATATATAGCATTGAGGGATATGATTGAAATATCTGTAATTAATAATGGATGAGGAAGTATAAGGTGTGTCTGTCTCATCCTGTCATTTGAAGAAAAAYACAAAATATAAACTCTGAGCTTTAATAGGTATGTACATTGTACAAACACACTGATGCACCTGTGTTGGTATCTTATGGCACAGCATCAAGTTGGGACACTAAAAATTCATTTGAATCCATATGGAGAGAAAGTTTCAGTCAAGACAGACTGAATAAATTCAAAGCTGTTATGGGCCAATCCCAGAAGATCCAGTAACAACATTTACCCAGTCTCCATATGCTCTGGCTAACTGAGTATAAGCCAAATGAGAAAAACACCTTTGAATATCCAAGTGCTATGTTTGAATCAAGAGACCACTTCCCTCAGAGAAGGAATCTGCACCAGAGGGTGTAAGTGCCTCTCTGGCAAAAAACACATTGCAGAATGACAGACCTTCAGCTCTGGATCATTCTGAAAGCTTTACAAGATACTTGAAAGAGACACCTGAATCAAAATATCTCCTGTGTCTGACCTGCAAAGTATTGTATCAACTGTATTAAGGCTTATCATGAATTAGGTGTGGAGAAAGGAAAGATTCTCAGGTGACCCTGTCTTGAATATTTATATCCTATTTAAAAAACTGAACATTGTAGATGTCAGATTCATTGAACACAAAGCAAAACTTACTCCAAGAGCAAAAACTTTAATCTTTTCAATCATACTTTCTGCACAGTAGGTGCCATAGACTGCTATTTTTAAGGCAATGTTCACAGAAAATTGAGTGAGAGCTCCACAGAAATATTAAAGAAACTGAAAGGACAATGGAACTACAAACTTTAATAGAGCTTGTGAACTTCTCACTTCATATTTTTCTAGAGCAAGTGTTGAACAGTGAAGAATGCCATTTGAGATTGATGCATTTTAATTATCTTTCAAACAGCAGCTGTGGAAACTTCCCCTATGTTATCCTGTTATTCTGCCTCATTCCTGACATGGAAAGGTCACTTCCTGGAAAGAGACTCCATTCAGTTCCTCTCCTTTCTAAAAGATTGCTGCATAAGCTGGTTCCAAATTGTGGAATCAAATTCATGTTATGCAATCAGCTAATTTCAGCAGTGCATGTTGTGATGGTCAGTCCTGTGTGCAAGGCCATGGACTCTGGTCCAAACCAGCAGCCCACAGTGAATTACTGAGAAACACAACACACCAGTTTGTCACAAGCTGTGTTGGCAACCACTGCCATCTACACAGCAGAATTAACCAATATTAAGGCATTGAATCTCCAAGATCAGTAGTTCAGACAAARCTGGACACAGATCTTACCCTGAGTGAAACACCGAAATCAAAAGCAGATATATACTGCACAYATTATCAGTATTTTTATCTTGTTTTCTCTCTGTTTTTCCACCTCCTATTGCCTTACCTAGGCACAGATCATGGCTTGGACTATGCATGTGATTGCTCTCTACTCTTTGTTGCAGCCCCTCAAATTCTGAGAAATAAGAGAGTATTGTTAGTGAGTTTCTTGCTTTTGCAGCCAGGGAATATTCTGAAGTTTGAACCTTTAAACTCCGGACAGAAGGTTTATATAAAATCTTAGAGATCCATACACTCAAGCATTAGTGAGGAAACTTTAGAATGATGACTTAAATGACAGCTATTTCAGTGCTAACCACTTCATCTGAAATATCCACTTAACAGCTCCATCCATTATGTGTGGGCTAATCCGCAGTCCCTGAACTGTCCTCACCTCTGAAACTTCATTAAACTGGCAGCTTAGGGAAGAGAATAGGGACCTTCTTCCATCTCTGTTAAGCAAGACAAGTCAATCTGCAAGATTCTACACACTGGAACTGTGAATTCATATCTTCATGCCAAACAGCTGGTGAAATAGTATTTCCAGAAACTTAAAATACYGTGTGGGAGGGGAAATGGGACTTCTGCTTGCAGCTGCAAACTATTTCATGGACATCTTCAGCAAAATAGTCTTGTCTTTCCTTTCTGGCTCAGCAAGAAATAAAAATAGTCCTGTGGCAAGAGCTGTGGAATTTAAGTGGGATATGGGGACAAAATTCAAGTTCCCATAGTTATAATCTGTGGTGGTCCGGGARCACCTCAGCTATTGGGGCAAATGGRCTGACTGGGAACAATGGSTCAATGTGAGAGTAAGRGATTGTCTGAACTCCTCAGCAGCCTCACAAAAAAAATAATGGATTTAACTGTCACAAGGGCTCTCAAGGTGAGATCTCTCAAGACAGCTTTTCCCAGACACCTCATGCTTCCCAC